ACAGGGTCCCATCTTACCCGACCACCTGGGGAGGATGCCTGTTCAGGGCACGGGCCGGACACGAGGGCCTCGAGCCTCAACACCGAAGACGGTGTCGAGGGGCAGCCGGTGCTGTCCCATCCAAACCCACGTGCACATGCCTGCCTGTCTCCCTGAAGCTCAAGGACCCAGGGGGCAGGAACATGTCTCGTGTGCTCCAGGGGCCCCGTGGGTGGTGATGAAAACAAACCACACAGACCACACTGCAGAACCAATGGTCCAGGTCCCCATTCTGCCCAAACCTAAGTTTTATTCCTGTTGAAATCATGCTGTCTGCTTTGCCCAGCCTGTCCCAACCTGGATGGAATCTTCTTAGTGGCTCACCCTGCAACCTCACGTTATAAAACAGCCCCTGAAGCCAGGCAGCAGGGAAGCAGCCCAACCTAGGGGTATTTTGGTTGAGAAAAGTCAACCTGGTGAGAACCTTCCTAACATACAAGGGACTCATCTTGAGGTAGGAGCGAGGACTTCAGACTCCAGGGACGGGATGTTTTCCGGCGGGTCCTTTCCAGGCAGGCCACTTGCCCAGTGAGCCTGCTGGGCCCTCGGGTCTGAAGTGGAGCCCTGGGCGGGCAGCTGCTGAGAAGCGTTCCTAGCAGCAGGGACCCAAAGCCTGGAATAACTGGGAAGGTGCTAAGAACCATGCCGGGGGTGAGTGTGGGTACAGGGGGTCGGTTCCCAGCTTCGGAACAGACCCGGCTGCCGTTTCACTCGGGAGAAGAGCAGGCAGGTCAAGCGCAACGACCCAAGCCCAGCTCGGCCTGCACTCCCGGGGAAGGAGGGTCGGCTGCGCCGCGGCCCTCGGCGCCCTCCTGGCCCTGCAGTCGGTACAGGGCCTCGACCTGCTTGCGCTTCTCTTTGGCCCGGTTGATGGTGGTCTGGAAGAGCCTGCAGAAAAGCTGGACGGCCGGGGGCGAGTCGTCGTTGCCCGGGACGGGGTACGTGATGAGGGATGGGTTGCAGTTGGTATCCACAATGCCCACAGTGGGGATGTTCATCTTGGCCGCGTCCCTCACGGCTATGTGGGGCTCAAAGACGTTGTTGAGCGTGTGCAGAAAGATGATAAGGTCTGGCAGACGGACCCCGGGGCCCAGGAGGAGGGGCGCGTTGGTCAGCAGGCCGCCCTTGAAGTAACGGCTATGGGCGTATTCCCCGCAGCCCCGGGCCACGTTCTCGATCAGGTGTGAGAACTGCCGCCTGCGGCTCACAAACAGGATGATGCCCTTGCGATAAGCCACGTGGGCCGTGAAATTCAAGGCCAGCTGCAGGTGCGTCGCCGTCTGTTCCAGGTCAATGATGTCCTGGTCCAAGCGGCTCCCGAAGATATACGGCTCCATGAACCTGCCGGACACCCACGAAGGCCAGTGTGAACCAGCCCCACGTGGCCACCTCCACCTGCCCTTTCTCACGCACTCCCCCAGCCCCGGGGCCCTGCACGGGGGGCCCGGCAAGCCCAGGGCTGGTACAGTCTGCAGCCCTCACCAGGATGACAGCAGTGGGGACGCTGTCCCAGGAGTGACAGCCGCGGGCACTGGGAGGGTGAGGGTGGGCGAGCAGGGCAGGCTGGGCTGCAGGCCACTCCACGTCTCGGGCAAGTGGCTTACCCCTCTGAACCTCCACCTGGCCGCAGGGGGTGCCTAACAGAGTGGACCCACACAGACGTCTGGACACTTAAACGTGATGCCCGGACAGCGTCCCACCCGGTGCTGCTTGTCTGGCTCCCACCCTTGTCATTATCATCACCTTTGAGGCTTTACAACTGAGGCCCCCCCACCCCGGGGGGGCTGGGGGGACCAGAAAGGCAGGGGGTGCCCCAGGCTGCAAGCGTGACGGGCCAGAGCAGGAGGCAGCCAGGCCTCGGAGGGGAACCCTGAGGGCACAGACCCACTGGCCTGGGCCGAGAGCCAGGGCTGCGAGACCGTCCTCTTGCAGCCCCCGCCCCGTTCACTCTTCTGCTCACCCCCACCGGGACTCTCTCTTCCTCTCCAAAGAGCCTTCCCAAGGCCCCACGTGCCCTCACCTCAGGTGACTTCTCCGCAGCACCTACAGTGGCGCCCCTCCTCCCATGCCCCGGCCCCGCCCCCTCTTCCCAGACTCTGAGGCACTGGTTGCCCAGGGCTCCCGCCTGGGACTTCCTCTCTCCTCCATCCCCAACTCCCCATGTTCTCAAAAGGTCCTGATGTGGTGGCCCCCGGCCCAGGCTGCTTCTCCCTAGTGCCTGCGTGACATCCCCACTGGGGTGGCTGAAGGGTCACCCTCATAGGACCCAAGTTCCTGATGTGAAGGATGTTGACACCTGCTCTGGACTCTGCTCAGCTGGACCTCCGGCTCTGCCCCCATCACCCCACATCCAACCACTGCTCCAGCTCTGCCGGCGCAGCTGGGCCCATCACCTTTCCCCTGAACATCTACAACCGCCTCCCTCCCTGGCCTAACTGCTCCTCCAATACACGCCCAATCCACCCGTCAAAATCGACACGTGAAAAGACTGGGCCAGTCACCACTCCTCTGCGTGCCCTTGGAGACACCCCCGCGAGATGCCGACGGCCTTGCCAGCACCGCCCTCCTGGCTGGCCTGTCTGTCGGGGAACCAGCAGCAGTGGGCCTGGCCCCACCGATGACCAGGAGCCCCACAGCAAGGTCCGTGGGGTCTGGGGGTCGGGGGGAGCAAACGGGGCCCGAGAATAAACAGCTGCCCCCTCCCTGGGGCTCAATGATCCCATGTGGAAGAAAAGGGAGCTAGACGCTCTTAAAACAAACTGAGGGCTTCCCTGGTGGCGCAGTGGTTGAGAGTCCGCCTGCCGATGCAGGGGACGCGGGTTCGTGCCCCAGTCCGGGAAGATCCCACATGCCGCGGAGCAGCTGGGCCCGAGAGCCATGGCCGCTGAGCCTGCGCGTCCGGAGCCTGTGCTCCGCAACGGGAGGGGCCACAACAGCGAGAGGCCCGCGTTACGCAAAACAAAACGAACAAACTGAAAGAGGGGGCCTGGATCCCAAGGCAAGCCCCCCAGACACCCCTACACTCGCCAGGGGCGTCACCTACCTGTGCCGACAGCCAGCTTTGTGTCCCAGGTGCACCCGGGCATCGAAGAGACTTCTTACAGAAAACAATTCCTTGACATTGAAAAAGTCGAAGTGCTTGAGGGGCTCGCTCAGGATCCTCTCGTTCAGATCTGGGGCGGGGAGGGGGAGAGGATGCAGGGTCTGGACCCCGGCTCCCAAGCCTGGGAGCTGCGGGAGGGCACATGCTGAAGGTCCCCAGGGGCCTTTTCTGGAGGCTCGGGACGGAGGCCGGGATCTGACCCCGGCTTCGCTCCTGGGTAAACGTGGCCGAATCTTCACTCGGAGAGGAGGGGAGCCGGGTGGTGTCTGAGGTCCCCGTGGTCCCGCCAGCCGCCCGCGGGACCTCCCTGGCCGCGGTTCGTGGGGGGGGGGGCCTCGGCCCTACTCGGCGGTGGGGCTGCTCGGAGGGCTGCAAGCTCGTGCGCCCAGCACGTGGGCTGCCAAGAGCGGAAGGCCACCCTTCGCCCTCCCCAGTCCCGCATTCTCCAGGGGCCCCATGGAGACCCAGGGCGCCCAGGACTCCTAGCTGCGGGGCAATTTCAAACCCCCAGGACCGCAGGGCCGGCGTTACCGCTGCTGCGCTCGGGCTCCCGGGCCGCGGAGGCCGCGGCGCTCCCCAGCGTCTTGCCGCTCGGCCCCGCCGGGCCCGGGGTCGCCGTCTGGACGAGGTGCAGCTGGAGCGGCCGGCGCCGGACACCTGCGGCGACAGCAAACTCGTGGCGCGCGCACCCCGCCCGCCTCCCTCCTTCCCTTCCTCCCGCCGCCCGGCCCGGAAGAGGGTCCATGCCGCGGCCCCCACCCCCGGATCCCGGGCGCCTCACCCGCGCCGAGCAGCCGGGGTAAGACCGAGCCGGGTACCATGGCGTGGTCTCCGGGAGGCGGACGGCGGAAGGACGCGGAAGACGTGCAGGCGCGGCCCCACGAGCGGCTCCTCCTTCCGGCTGCGGCCCGCGCCTTCGCCGCAGCGCCACCTGCAGGCCCGGGGGTGCCACTGAGCGCCCGCCGCCTCTCTCGGGCACCTCAGCTCTGGACGCGTCCCCGCCCCTTGGCCCCCGCCTGCCCCCTCGGGTCGGAGCACGCAGGCCTTGGGGAAGGCGGGGCCTTGCGCCCCAGGTCTGCCCGGGCACCGTGGACCCGCAAGGAGCGTGGGGCGGGCCGGGGCCGAGGTCCTGTCGAGCGCGGGGTCTGGATACTCCTCCCTTCGCCCCCTCCCTGCACACTGCCCGGCGGCCGAGGAGGTTCCCAGCCGTCCCGCGGGAACTCGCCGGGAGATGGGGACCATCTTCACCCGCGGCCAGTCCGGCACAACCTCCCGCTGTCCAGAAGTGTTTTAATTTTTAAACATTTGGCTTAGAAAGAGTCCATAAAGTTAGGCAAATCTGGAGTATTAATTTTAGATGCAGCGTACTGGGGGGCCTGAAGTCGGGGGTGGGGGTCAAGGAGCAGCCCTGGCCCACGCGGTGAGCGTCGGAGCGTTACAGCGGAGCTGCCTTAGAGAACCTGAACTCCGCAATTTGCCGATGAAGCCCCAGGCCCGGGGTTTCATCTGCCTGGAAATCTGTCCCCCACCGCATTTGGGAAAATGTTGGCGCCGAAGGCTACTGATCATAGGGTACCCGGCACTGCGGCCCCAGGAAGTAATGCCTTATTATCCCGGCCAGCCTAGGGCCTCGTGGTTCGCCACGGAAGGTTCTAGAACCTCGGACTTCTGCCCCACAAGCCGGCGGTGGGTGGCCTCCGGCCGAGGAGGCGCGGTGCCTTTAAGGGCCCCGACCACCCAGTCAGGTGACCGGGCCGTCGCTTAGCAACAAGACGCCGCGCGGCTCCTCACGGCCCCAGGGCTGAGAAGCTGTTTCCTGCCCGCTCTTTCCCCCGAAACTCGGATGGACCGAGGCGAGATGTCCGAGGAGGACCCCCAGGGGTGCGCGGAGCAGGAGGTGCCCAACGCCAAGGCCCCGCCGGAGAAAACCAGCGACTATTACCGCGTGAGCGAGGACCTGCCGGCCAGGTTCAACAACCCGGCTTGGTTTCGGGGCTACAGGTGAGGACCAGGGAGTCCGGTCAGGGTCCACCTGGCATATGAAGAGGAAAGAAAGGGCTCCTGGTCCAGCCGCCAGCCAGGTGCCCAGCTGGTCCTGCGCTCTGAGCAGATGGCCCTTTGTGCAAGAACCCCCAGGCCCCCTCCCGGCCCCCAAGTCAAAAGCGGGGTCAGCTGTTAACCACCAAATGAGCGCGGAGGTGCTGCCTGAGGCTTGCGACTCGCGGGTGGAGTGAGTGGGCCTCTCGCCAGCGAGGTGGGGCGGGGTTTGCCCAGGGGAAATCACACAACTCGGGCTGATACCAGCAGCACCCTCTAGGGCGGGGTCAGTCTCTCCTTTCTAGGCGGAGAGGACCCGTCCGCCTGAGGTGCATGGCAACACCTCCATCACCAGGCTGCCGAGGGGCGTGGCCTGCCAGCTGTTCCAGTGCGCTGCAGTCTCTTAAGACACAGCCGGGCAGGCTGTGCGTGCCTTCCCTGCTCCCCCGCTCTCCCCCTTAGTCCTTCCACGATCCCACAGAGTTGGCTTTGTTAGCATCTTCATTTCCCAGGAGGGACATCTGGGTTGTAGAAAGACAGATCCCAGAGTTAGTATGAGGCAGAGCTGGGGTGTCTGAGGCCACAGCCACTAGTTAAACTGCTGTACCAATAGCATCAGGACTAGAGACTGCAGGAACATTTTCTCCTGGAGGCTCAGAAGTGGAGGGCCCCCCCCCCCCCCGCCATGGGAGGGCATCCCCTCCCATCCCAAAGGGCTGGCCCCCGCGAGTGGCAGGCCTGGAGGCTGAGTCACAGCTCCCAGTCTACCCACCCACCCAGGAAATGACAGCGTGGGCCCGGGTCCCGCTGGGGCTGAGGGCCAGCACTTGCCACCTGGGAGTTCTTTAGGGCTTTGGCAGAGGTCAGGAGAGGGAGTCAGGGAGGCTGAGCCTGCCAGGGAGGCCAACCCTGCACTCCACAGGAACCCAGGTTCACGGCTGCATCGCCCATCTGGGGCATTTCCAACAAAGCTCCATCAACTAAATATGTTAAAGCTGTGGCTTGGGCAGAATTTAAAAAAATGAGTGGAAAATAAAGTATTTTTCTTATTTGCTAGGACCAAGGAGCCCCCCTCAGTGTACAGGACCAGTAACCAAGCTTATGGGAGCAGAGCACCCACCGTGCACGAGATGCCGGTAAGGAGGAAGCAAAGAAAGGTGCACAGGTGGGGCATCTCTAGGAGGAGGCTGAGACTCCGGATTTCTCAAAAGAGCAACACATCAGGAGGGTGAGGTGCAGAGAGGCCCGCAGTTCCAACAGCACAAAGGGGGAGGGCGCACCTCAATTCCTTTTGGGACAGGGCAGGGTAGAAATAAATGAATGAATGAATTTAGCAATGAAATGATTTAAAGGATGAAAAAGGGCATGTAGTCTTCCTTATAATATCCCAAAGGGCTGGCCCCATTCACTCGTACAACCAGCCAACTCTCGTAACCTAATGCAGTAGGTTTTGAGGCAAATAAATGAAGAACTGCCTTCTTTTTGGAGTAATACCGTATTTTATGAAATATTTAACTTGTGATCTTAAGAGACAGCACTGGCTGATGAAAGCACAGGTTCCAAAAGGGCCCCGGGATCTATGCACTTTTGGGGAACCTGACCCCTTTTTGAGATCAACCTCATATGGCAGGGAGCCTCCTAGAACCCCCTGATGCCCCTGCTGGGTCCAGGTGAAGGGCAGATGGACCAGTGTAAGCATCCCCTGGGTACCCAAGACAGGAGGGCCTCCCATTTGGGGGCTGGCAGTGTTGTTGTTTTTCTTCCAAATTATTCATGTTAAAAGATCATTATAATTGCTTATTTACCTGTTTTTCATGGGGGATAGAGCTTTTATGAGAAGATTATTTCTCTAGAAAGTTCCTAGAGCATTTAAAGGTCATTCTCCCAGGATCAAGGGATCAGGTATTTCCATGAAAAAGACCGACACACTTACAAACATAGGTCCAGATGTTTTGCTTTTATAAAAAAGGCCATTTGCTTGTCTTAAGAGGCAGTGGGACGTGAAGCACCGAGGTTCTCCAGAGGCAAGTTTAGAAGTTTTTCCTGCTGCTTATCGACCTGCTTTATCTGGAACCTGGTTTCCAGTTTCCTGACCTGAGTGTGGCCGCGGGACTCAACCAGGAGCACGCAGTGTTTCCTTCCCGCGTGGGAACAGAAAATAAAAATGCATTCTTTGGGTTTTCGAAAATACACTGGAGGAAACTATGCTTAATGACACTGTAGTGGTGGATACATGTCATTCATTATTCATTTGTCAAAACCCAGAATGTGCAATGCAAAAAGTGGACCCTGTGTACACTGTGGACTTTAGTTAATGACGACCCATCGCCATTGTCTCAGTTGTTCTAAATGCACCACACTGATGGGAGATGTGAACAGCAGGTCAGCTGTGTGTGCTGCCGGGGAGGCGATGTGGGAACTCTTCACTCCGCACAGCTTCTCTGTAGACCCCAAGCTGCTCTAAAAAATAAAGTCTATTTAAAAATGCACTGGGGGGCTTCCCTGGTGGCGCAGTGGTTGAGAGTCCGCCTGCCGATGC